ATGGCGGTTGACAATCACCCAACAAGACGCCCAAAACAGAGGCTTATCTTCAAAAAAGTACAAGCAGCTATGAAAATGGACGTTTCAATAGCGTGAAACCTGTTCACTGGTTGTAAAGTTGTTGCTTGGGTGTACGTAAAACCCCCTACGAAAACAATTATCCAAGCGTGCAGCTAGGTTCTGATCGATTCGCTTAAGACAGCGTTTGGCCTGAGAAGAGAGAAGAGCAGATGATAGGGAAAGTAGTCTAATATACATGATCTCCGTTCGTACAGAAAAATGCCGGTCACATATCAAGAAAGTAGGTCCCGAAAGCCCTAGAGAATAGGATCATCTTTAAGATAATGAATTTCAATTAGGTACGAAGTAAGATATCATATACACGGAGTGGAATGAGAAAATTACACAATTTAAGGCAATAAAGGCTAAGGACGAACTCAAGTTAAATGTCATCCAGGATACAGTCAGGTTCAAGCCATGCAATGCCTCGAGAGGAAAGAATTTCGGCCCGCCGTTTGGATGCTTGCTTTAGTTCTGTCAGGCGATCCGCCTGTAACCGGAAAATTTCTTCTTTTGAAGTTCTCGTAAACTTCGAGTCAATGTCGAAGTCCGGCTTCTAATGGGTGGATACAAAAAAACAGTGGTACAGTAATGGCGTTAGGTATTAGTATTCAGACTCACACAATAGTCAATCCAAAGTAAAATTAATGGCAAATTTTGAAGCAATCATTTTCAGCACCGTCCGACGTAGTAAACGAAGGAAGGCTGGCACAAACAGCCGTATTGATGACGGTCTTACTATATAATAATGCAAAAGTGTAAATGCGACGGTGACAGATTGGCTGAAAACAATACTCGATTAAAGATGGAATAGGCGGTGAATCGATGTTGTCACTCAAGAGGTACTGTGTGAACGAGCGTTCCCAAAGCACGCGTACACTGTTCGGAGATGAAACAGAGTATAGGTTAGTGGACAGAAAATTAGTGGGATTCAGGGTTGAATCTAGATAGACGTTCTATAGTTAGCAACGAACCTATGCATTGACCAGAAGCTGTAGAAGTGAGTATTTCGGTCAGAGTTCGAACAAAAAAGGTCTTAACAATGAAAAAGATCAGACCTACTGGTCGCTGGTTTAACATAATTTACCTAAAAGATGTTTACTTTAGTGAACAAGTAGAAGTTACCTGCTCCCCAATAAGTGCAATGTTTTCTCCGCGGACTAGTAGAATGCCGTGTTTTATGTCAGCGTACTTGTATCCCACAAAGATGCGTTCCAGAGCATCGTGCAAAATTATATTGCCTGTCTATGTAAGAGATTAGAAGATATCAAACAACCGAATTGATCGACGGAACGAAGGTATCCAATGTAGCATTTAGGGCCTCGAAGCTTTACAAGGACTTCCTCTAAAAAAACAGCGTCGAAATGAGTAAATGGCTTACTTCCGAGGTCGTTTAAGAGACTTGCAGAGCCCGGAAAATGCGGAAGATTGAAATTGTCATCGGCAGATGAAGTCATTCAGATGGAAACTGGGGACAGTGGTCTTTGGATTAAATAAAATGAGAGGTTTACTCTCTGAAGTATCAAACGTTTGTGGTCTACAAAAAGACAGGACGATAAGCACTGCAAAAGAAAGAACCGAATAAAATACTTACGATGGATTCATGTTAACCATCACAGGTATAGCACAATTGGAATATGCAGATGAGAAATGAGTTATTAGCTTGCCAAAAAAACAAACAATCAAAATTCTGGTTAACTCCTCAGCACAGGACTTATTCGGTCTGGAACCGATTTTATGTGAGCATCAAAATTCACCTGTATAATGCCAGATGGAAAACGATAGAATATTCTTAAATCTTGCAAGTGTGTATGCTTCATAGAGCAAATATTATTTAATCGTACTTCAGACACAAGGGTTGGCTATAAATACTTAAAAATAACCTGTTGAAAAGCTAAGCATTTTTGTGGGGTATAGAAATGCGTGTATCTGACAATACGACGGTCTTTTTTGACTAGATCCACCATGTGCTTCATGGAAGCGCGGGCGCAAGGACGATGACCACTGTCTTACTCGTCTCAACCTTCTGCATCCCGTGTGATGACAGAGTCAAAAGGCTGGAGACGGGATCAGGCGCAGGTGACTGGTGCGACATGAACTTGCATTTAGCTGTGCCACCACACACGTTACACGTCAATCACATTTTATCCGCGCAAAATAGACCAAAATTGCATTAAACAAAGAGAAGGCAGTTAGGATCCCAAATGAATGGTTGCCACAGAAACTACATTAAGAAGTAGCCATTACGGCCTGACTACCTACGCTTATAAGCAGACCGAGTTACCAAGGTCAGTTGACAGCTTTCTTAACCACGGTTTTTAGCGTAGATTATTTGCAGCATAGGCAAACCGCAATTTCTCTTCCTTCTTCTAGGCACCAGTCAGTTGTCCGAGCCAGTCAACCAACTGGTGCTGAGGTGGGATGCAGTGACCTACAATGCTAGCCAGCCCATCTAGAGTGTCACACACGAATTATCTTCCCTACAACACACACCAAACTTTCATAAAAAGTGGACGGCTGACTCAGATCTCGCGAGCGTGGGCCGAGATGTAGTCGCTAGGATGATGTTAAGGCTAACCCGTCGGCTGAATTGACGTCAAGGACGCATGACAATTCAACTGGCCGAACCGGATTGAATAAGACGGGAAAGTACGCAAAAAGGTATGAATGGTGTAGTAGTATCGAACGTAAATCTGTAAGTGCAAGGAACGGTTGAAGTTTATGTCGACCAAACTAGTGACGAAGATAGTATAGACAATATCTTCTACATGGCACATATAGGCACGTAGTCAAGGCCTTTATTAAGCAAGCTATAACATTTAACAAGTACGACGGCTATGTAGGGTGCCTATTTTATGGACAAGAATAGGTTGTGTACATAAGACTTTATGAAAGGGAATGGTTCAAGGTTGATGTTTCTTTGGAGCGAGGGTTGTTGTGGTCGCGTGTGGGCGGGAA